GAAAGGGAAGAGCTGGAAGCCCCAGTCGAAGCCTCCTGATGTTGAAAGCAAGATAGCCACTCGTATTGCGATGGGCTGCATCAGGTGCCTAAGGTGAAAAAGAAGATGGTTCGTTGTTGAAAGGAAGCCCCAGCATCTCCACATTAAGAGAACGTGGGGCTTACGCAGGCAAAATGCAGACAGATGTTGAAAGTCAAACTGTATGTCCTCCGGCCTTGGGTTTTGCCTGAAATGCCGGTTTGCAAACTGCCAGGTTACCTCTTACGAGGAAGGGAGCGCCTTGTGATTGCTGCCCGGCAGTCAATCAAAACCCCGCCGGTGTCAGGGAGCTGAGAAATTAAAAACAAAAAGTCCCAAGCCTATGGAAATGTCAAATGGGAAAAAGGTCAGATGAAACGTTCCTTTCATTTTGACCAATGACATTTTCAAAGTTACCTTTAAAGGCGCAATCTGGAAAGCCCTGGGGAAAAAAACAAAACCAAAACCACGAAAGAAAACAAGCCAACTCCGGTCTCGGGAAGCACATGGAGTGGGAATACGTGTGCGGGCGGGGGCACGCATGTGTGCGCAACCGCAACAACCAGGGCCTGGCTGGAAACCTGGAGCGGGGGAAGAAAGCCCTTTTTTTTTACACCAGAAGTAGAGGACGGCCAAGCCTGGCAGTAAAACTACCGTGACCCTACGCGCTGTCATGTACCAAAGACTCAGTCTTCTCACTGAGCAGAAAATAAAATACGTTTGCAGTGACAACCGAAAAAGCAGGAGTGTGCTCCTTTTGCCAAGTTCCCACTTCACCTGTTCGCGGTGGCCGAGAGGGACAGACGTCCTCCCCCATCAGCCAGCGAGGCCCCGCCGGGGCGGCAGCGGCCGAGGGAGCACAGCGAGGGCAGCAAACTGCAGGACACGGGGTTTTTGACTTCACCACTCCATCGCCCTACACTGGCCTGGGCGACGGCGGCTTCCCTGGCTGCGGGAAGCCTGGGAATATCTGTGGAGATCCACCAAGTGCATCTCGCTCAGCGATGACCCAGCAGAGGACTCTCAGTAGCCCAGACCACCGCCAACATTGTGGGTTTCAGTACAAGTGAGTACCTGCAGCTCGGGGGGAAGCTGATGGGAGCTGCTGGCTCTCAGACCGCTTCAAAACAAAGCAAGACATACGGAGGCCCACCTTGGATGCGCAAACCGGGTGGCCGACATCAGTACCTCCACATGCTTGCACCTGTGCTCCCAAACCAGTGGTCTACGTATATTTGGACTGGGAGGCTGTCACTGGTTCACAGCCACCTCGGGACAGGATTGCTTCTTGGAGCAGCCTGGAGGAATCAAAGGGGTGCAAAAGACCCCCGGGAGGGGTGCTGGGTTGGAGCTTTTGCGGGTGCAGATCAGTGACTTCAGCAGAGCGTCACCAGTTTACGCCACCTGTGCATCAGGCATGAAGCACAGCAGCGGTAACGCGCGGTGAGCAACCCCTGCGGGCTAGCGGAGGACTTTGGAGGAGGAGGAGTACGATGGCTGGAGAAAGGAAGGACAGACAGCACACAGAGGGACACGTCTTAGAGGATCTTCAGGAAGGGGACAACGGGTTCCATAAAAACCAGGAATGATTCATTCTGCTGCTGACAAAATTAGAAATAAAGCAATAATGGTAATAATAATAATCATTATAATCCTTGCACTAAATACTAATTAGTAAATAATTATCATAGCAACTTCTTTTTTTTTTTTTTTTTTCCTTTTTTCTGGGTTTCTTTTTTTCCCCCCCCTAACCACTCTGAATTGCATATCCAGCCCCTCGTACCGCAGAGGGGCGGAAAGGGTGGTGTTACGCTGTGAACTGAAAATGAACTCCGATCCTACCTTCCCCACTGTCCTACAGCGATTCTCCACACGGGCTCGGTGGGACTCGATCGGGGAAGGGAGGGGACGTTACGGGTGTTCCTGCTAAGCACCCAGAGTACCTGCTTTCCAGATGCACACCTCTTAAACTCTGATTTTCTTGTTTTTACAAGTAGGTCTAGGAAACAGAACAATGACAGGAGGATCACTGGGAGACAATCGATGTGCAGACTTGTAGCCAAAATCTGAATTCACCAGAAACCAATAAGCTGCAATAGCCACAACCAACTGTCCATAGCCTTGTCTAGAATGGCTTTAAACAAAAAATATAAAGAGCCATGGACAATCTCCTTACCCCTGTCCAGAATTTGATGTAAACAACATCCATAGAAACTGGGATTGTTAAGAAAGTTTATCCATATATCTGGATAGCAATAAAAAGCGTTTCCTAGGAAACTGTAAAATCCTGTACCAAGCAGCGTACAGCCAAGCCAAGAGGAACATTAGGTTGATTTATATTTTCAAGGTACAACTTCGCATGATTTCTTTTCGATCCTGTGATAATGTACAAGGAGAGCACGTGTGAAGGTCAGGGCTGGTTTTTTTCTGTCTGTTTGTTTGCTTGCTTTCTTCTCTGAAATGTCTGTTGTGTAACTCATTGGTCTGGTTTTTCATTTCAATTCTGGTTTGTAGTAACAGGGCATTACTGCTCCCTGCGTCTGTCCTTCCTGTTCACGCCGAGGCTGCATCAGTAATTTCCTTCTGCTGCCAAAGAAACAATGGTTTCGTGTCTTCCCATTTCTTCAAGAACAGCGGCCAGCATGCTCAGGTTGCCGTCAGGGAAATTCTGGGCTTCCCAGAGATCCAAGATCACCCCGGTGGGACTTGATTTCGTAGCAAAATAATTTAGGTACCTGCAACAAGCCAAAAGGAAATGCATTTTTTTGAGCTGCATGAAGGCTACCTAAATTTCTAGGATTTCAGCCCATCCCCATTGCTGGTGCGGTCAGTCTGACCAGTCTGTAGACACATCTGCTGTCACTCATCTTCACCAGGACCCTTTTGCACGTACGTCCCAGGGGGGGCTTTGCCACCAGACCACGCGTAGGCAGCCCCGCTCACCTGTCCAGTTTCAGCTTGTGGGCCAGCATCCGCCAGTCGTGGCCTCTGGTCTGGGGCGCGTCCAGGCTGCTGCACAGCTTCTGCCTTATCGGGAGGGGGATGCTGAAAGCGCTGGGCCCTACTATGGTGGTGATGGTGCCTGCCGAGTCCATAGGAGGATAATCGACGCCAGCAGGTTCCTGAGGTTGGAAAGGAAGGGGAGAAAAAAAGAAAAAAAAAAAAAAAGAAACAACAAACCAGCAGTTTTGTTAGTGAGTGCAGAGATGATTGTAGAAGTGTATCCTCTGAGAGTCAGTGTTTTTACTTGCATTAGAGGGGAGGAGCCCTCTGCTAATCAAGCGCTTATGTTAGTCAGCTGAAAAAGAGAAATATTCATAACTGACTTTGGGTAGACAGCCGATTTTTTCTTTTTTTTCCGAGAGTGAAGATTACTATGGCTGGGCAAAATTGAGGCCCGCTTAATTTATCACCTAC